TCTAGACTGTTGTGGTACCACCCTCCTTCCCAAGAGAAGAGTGACCCGATGGTGCCTGTGTGTTGGGTACTGGACACCAAATTTGTTGTCTCCTCTGGAAACTGCTTTGGTCATGGGCTCAGTGTGTCCCTCTCCAGGGAAGATGTGTTGGAGTCCTCACCCTCAGTCCCTCTGCCTTATTTGGGAAGGGGTCTCCACAGAGGTGATCCAGTTGAAATGAGGTGTTTGGGGTGGGCCCTATTCCAGTAGTCTGGTGTCCTTAGGAAAAAGGGAAATTGGGACCCAGTGGCAGATGGGACAGAGGGAAGCTGAGGGGAGAGGATGGCTATTTGCAGGTAAAGGAAAGAGGGCTGGAACTTTGTTCTCCCTCATGGCCTCATAGGAGCTGACCCTGCTGACCTCAAAGGTAGATTTCAGCGTCTAGGACTGGGAGGGAACATGCTTGTTTCAGATCCCCTGGACCAGATAGCTTGAAGCACCAGACCGTCTAGAGGCCACCAGCCTGAAACTGAGGCGTCTGCTAGCTGTACTCCCTCTGAGACCAGGAAGAGTCCTTCCATGCCTTACCTGGTCCCTGGGGGCAGCTGCCCACCTGTGTCTCAGAGCCACATCTCTGCAGTCACTGCCTGCATCGTCACATGGTCTTCTCCCTGTGCGTCTCTGTGTCTACTCTTCTTTTTCTGGAGGACACCAGTCATACTGGATTGGGTCCACCCCAGTGACCTCATCCTGACTTGATTGTTTCTACACAGACCATGTTTTCCAAAGAAGCCACAGGCACCAAGTACATAGGGATGTATGGGGGACACAGTCCAGCCCTAGTTGGTGCTGGGGTCTTGGGCAGGGGTAGTATCTGTTCACCCCTGTCTTTCAGAGAAGGAGCGAGTGGACGTTCTGATCAACAACGCAGCCGTGATGCGGTGCCCCCACTGGACCACTGAGGATGGCTTTGAGATGCAGTTTGGTGTGAATTATTTGGGTGAGGCTCCTGCCAAGGGCTGTGCTGTGCTACTGTCAAGCTTGGGGCATGAGCATGTTCCCAGGGAGACAATCACCTGGCTGGGGAGGGTCCTGCTTTACCCTCCAGGCAGCCAGCTGACCACTCACAGGTGACTTGGTGGCTCAGATGGCCAGTCAGTTAGTCATTCTGACACTCTGTAGCCCCTGAGCTTTTGTCTTTTTGTCTGTGCACATAGATGGCACATTGCCAAGCTCTTATTCCTGCCAAGGGGAAGGAGGAAAGGGAAGAAAGGCTGTGACCTGGAAGTTGCAGATTGTGTTAATTTGCTGCCATGGCAAAGGCACCACAACTGGAGTGGCCCAGACAATAGAATGTACCATCCTGTAGCTCTGGGGGTCTAGGAATTATACATCAGGATGTTGGCAGGATCGGTTCCTCCCAAGGGCCATCCTAGTCCTCTCTCCTCACATTTGGTGGTTATCTGGCCATCTTTGCTTGGTTTGTGGAAGCATCACCAGGATTTCTGTCTTCATCTTCACTTGGTTTCTCCCTTTGAGTGGGTCTATGGCTTAGTCTCCCCTTTAAAGACCACCATCACATTGGATTAGGGCCCAACCTGATGACTTCATTTTAACCTGATAACTTTTTTCTTTT